TCACCGGGCGTCTCCACGTTTATACGATGCAGAATATCTGGGGTTCTGTACCAGTGTGTTAAGATCTTGAAGCTCGTCTCCTGGATTTTGGAGCTGATGGAGCATTTATGTGTTAAAATAAATATTTTTTCCCATTCCTCTTCTGTGAGCGTGGTCCCTGTCTCTCTCTCCCATCTGGCTATGTATCTTGGGGGTGGCGGGTTTTCTCCCTCGAGGAGAAGCGCATATAGCATGTAGACGCCCCTCTCAGGGTGGGTCCTTTTGGTGCATAATGTTTCAAACTGTGTGGGGGTTCTGTGTAGGCACCGTTTGTTTGGGAAAGCCGCGTAATATGCCTGTGTTTGAAGGTAGTGGAAGTTGTCTATGCCTGTAGGTGCTTTGTCCCCGAGGATGTCTGCCAGAGGCTTGAGTCGATCCCCCTGCAGTATTTGATGAAAACTGAGCCAGTCGGTGTTGGTGTATGTACGCAATTCTGCAGGTGTTAATCCCCCACCAACGTCTGGGTTGTGTGTGATGGGTATAAGGGGGCCGACTGTGGTGGTGAGTTGGTGAGAATATCGCAGCGTGCAACAGATTCATAGCATGGCATCTATCATTGCCTGTTCATAGGGATCCTAGTGTTAGGGAGCCAAGCCAAAGGCGGGAGGGGAGAGAGCTGCCCGTCTGTGTGAGTTCCATGGGCACCCATAGCTTGGCTGTTGGGCGAGCGTGCCAGTCCACCGCCCTGAGCTCGTATGGTATTGGAGGCCGGCGCCCCCCTGGGCCTTATGGCGTTCTAGTAGCGCCTTGCTAACCCTGGTCGCCTTCCCGTTCCACACGAACTTCCGTACGGCCGTGGAGAGTGACTGAAAGAAGGCTCTAGGTATGGAGATAGTGATTGTTTGAAACAAAAACAGGAGGCGCGGCAGGACATTAATTTTTACAGCGTTAATACGGCCAAACCAGGAGACATAGAGACCCGTCCAGCAATGTAGATCGGACTGTATAACCGAGAGAATGGTGAGGAAGTTTAACTGGTATAGGAGTATCAGGTCTTTAGGTAGCCGGACCCCGAGGTATTTTAATTCGGAGTCTCACCATGAGAAGTGGAATTGCGAACGTAAGTGTGCGACCTTCCCTGGTGTGAGTGATATCGGTAGGGCCTCTGACTTGCTCATGTTTAGCTTCAGGTTAGAAATGTCACCGAAGGCTCAGAGGAGGTTGGAAAGAGAGACTGCAGGGTTATCGAGGTAAAAGAGCATGTCGTCTGCGTACGCGGCCACCCTATGCTCTGTTTGGTGCAGCTTGTACCCCGTAGTACCTCCGTCCTGTCTGACCGCCTCCAGAAAGGGTTCCAGAGTGAGGACAAACAGGAGGGGGGACTGGGGACAGCCCTGTCTAGGGCCATTGCAGATGGAGAATGGGGCCGAGAGTGTGCCATTAATCCGTATACGTGCTGTTGGGGTTGTGTATAGTGCTAGTATCCAGGAGCGGATATGGGGGCCGAATTGCATATGTCGGAGGGTGGCCTCAAGGTACTGCCAGTTCACCCAGTCGAAGGCCTTCTCTGCGTCTGTGGAGACAAGAACCAACTCCTTGCTCATCAACCGGGCGGAATGAATCATGTTGAGGGCTCGTATGGTATTGTCCCACGCCTCCCTTCCAGGGACGAAACCCACTTGGTCCGTGTGAACCAGCGTGGGGAGCAAGTGGGTGAATCTCAGGGCCTGAATCTTGGCGAATAATTTGAGATCTGAGTTGAGGAGCGAGATCGGCCTATAGCTCCCGCAGTCGTTGGGGTCTTACCCCTCCTTTGGTATGACCATCACTGTCGCGTGCGAGGTGTCTCTTGGGAACCAGCTGCCCTCTAGTAGGGAGTTAAAGCCCTGTAACATGTGCGGTAACAGTGTGTCCCGAAACTTGCGCAGGTATGAGACCAGTAGGCCGCCAGGGCCCGGGGCTTTATTGGATTTAGATCGTTTAAGGGCAGAGGCGAGCTCTTCCGCGGTGATGGGTTGTTCCAGTTCCTCTGTTAATTCCTCCGAGAGCTTGTGCCCGACATATTTCGAGAGGAAGGCGTTCACACGGTGTAGGCGTTGTGGTGTCTCCGTTCGTTGTGTGGTGGTGTTGATGTTATATAGCTCCGAGTAAAAGTGCCGAAAGGCCTGGAGGATATCTGCCGGGGCCCTCTTTATCGTCCCATCCCTCCCCTTAACTTGGTGAATATGGTGTTTCCTCTGCTTTTGTTGTAGGGTGCGGGCTAGTGTTCTCCCGCATTTATTGGAGATTTCTTAAAAATGTCTATTTGATTTCCGTATAGTGTGTAATTGTTTCTGGGAGAGTAGGTCTCTGAGCTGTCTGCGCTTGTCAGTGAGGAGGAGATAAGTGTCATCCGTTTGGTCCCGTTTGTGTCTCTAGGTCTGCTATCATGTTCGTCAGGTCTAGGATATTTGCGGTGTGTTCCCTCTTCCGTTGGGTGCATAATTTGATAAATTGTCCCCGAATCACACATTTGTGCGCTTCCCACACCGTAAGGGGAGCAATGTCAGGGCTGTCATTGTCAGCAAAGTATTGGGTCAGTGTTTGTGTGATTTGTGTGGTGAAATTGGTGTCTGTCAGCACACTTTCATTGATTCTCCATTGAAGTTCCCGGGGTTTGAAGAGTTGAATTGGGGCATGGTCCAAATCGTGTTGTTTCCCTATCGTGGAGGTGATCAAGAGGGGAAGGTACTCTTGGGCTAGGAAAATATAGTCGATTCTGCTATATCTAAAATGCACCGCAGAATAGCTTGTGTAATCTTTAGCTTTCGGATGCGCCACCTTCCAGCAGTTGACCAAGCCCGACCTGATCAATGCCTGTTTAGCTTTTCATATACAGTGCGGGGGGATGGTGCTGGTGCCCGCGGAAGAATCCCTCTGGGGGTCCAGCGGGATGTTTAGATCTCCAGCTAGCACCAAGGTGGGGCAATATATCGTGGCGAAAGTGTACCTGTGTTCTGCGATCGTGCCTTTCACAAATAGGAACCTGCCCAGGGGGTCCGCTTCTGATGCCGTTCTTAGGAAAGGGACAGAATGGGCAAAGATTATTGCCACTCCCGTGCGTTAAGCTTCGGAGTTGTTGGCGTAAAATCCCTGGGGGAATCGTCTATCTCTTATCTTAGGGGCATCCTTCCCTTTAACGTGCATTTCCTGTATAAATGCTATCAAGGTCTTCTGAGACCTCAGGGTCCTCAGCAGGTGTCTCCTTTTTTCAGGGGAGTTAAGGCCCCTTACATTGTGGGATCGTAGGAGTAGAGGTGCGGGTCAGAAGCCGGTCGCCATGGCTGCTCGGTCACCTAACAAGGGGGGCCAGGACCAGGGGTCCTCGGGGAAAGGGGTTGGGGGGGTGAGTGGAGAAGGTAGTGGAGGGGGGTTTGGTTGATGTGTCTGTTTGGGTTTGTTAGCCTGTTGAGGACTGTGAAATAGTAGGCAACTATGGCCCCAGGTCGTGTGGGGGAGACAAGAGGGTCCGTTGCTGTGGGACTAGGAAGTCCGGTTGGTTGAGTCCATCTGGGAAGTCCAGTATCCGCTCTCCCTCGACCGACTTTGTGGAGTTTCTGAATTGTCCACTAAGGCAGGTGAGAATGGGTTGGTTTTCTGGAGGGGGCCAGTGCGGGTGATTGGGCGGTACATCCCTGGGTCTCGCCAAGAGACCGGTCGTTTGGGTCCCCTTCAAGATTTGTCTGAGCAGCCGGTCGGACCCCATTTCTGGTGGCATATATCTCAGTTCGCCAGTTTTTCTGAGTAATGGGTGTTGGGAGGGTTCCTGTCCATGTCTTGGTTACTGATCCGGGGTGTGGCTGTCTCATAGGGTTAGTTGGCTCGGGGAGGGGGACAGTCCACCTGGGCGGCGGTCTGTCGGGGGGCCCATGCTTGGGGGTGTAGGTCATTGTCAGGGGGGCGTTGGTCACTTCTGGGGTGGGGGATTTAGGGGTGTCTCAATGGGACGGGGGCGTTCTCTTATGCTAGCAGCGCGTGCCCGTAGTGCATAGTTAACATTTTAAAACATTGCTTAGTCAATATACGATATTACTTCTCGTCAACAAATTAAGTGGTTCCGAGGCCACGTCCGTGACTGATTTCAAACTTAACATAAAACTCCTTTCGGCTTATTAAACAATGCAAGCATAGTAAAACAGATTAAAACAGAAAGACAAGGCCACTATGGCTCCCTCACCCCCCTCCCAAATCATTTTCAGCCGGTTGGGGCCATTCTCCTCCCCATTTCGTCTGTGCTGGCTCTTTTTCGGTGTGTGAACCTAGGGGTACCTTGTAGTGACCCCGGAGGGCAGGTAAGTGTAAGGGTTGGAGCGTATCCAAGAAGTGGTTATGTTCTCGATTAACGACAATGTATAGTCAAGTGGTAGAGCCAGCTTGTTATGCTAAATCCAGACCTCGCTGTGAGCTATTTCCCGTCCTTGGAGGGATGCAGCGCTAGGTTCATTACCAAAGTTGTGTCGGGCCTGTGAGTCTCTGCTATCCCAGTCAATCTCAATTAAACTTGGCCCCCATCCCCCCCCCCTAAAATCGGCCGCGGCCTTTAGGTGTCCTTTCCTATCCCTCATACCTGTGTTGTTCCGTTTGCATTGTGTGTTCCTTTCAATTCTCTCATCCCGGTACCAACCCGGCCCATGAGGTGGAAGTCCCCGTGTGAGTGCAAGTTTTGATACTTAGCTGTTGCTGTCTTGAGAGCATCCATGGGGGAGATGCCGGTCCGAATGGGCTGACGGTCATCGGGCTTGGTCCGTGGTATGGGTGGTTACTCCTCGGGTCCATTAGGGCCTCCCCAGAGCGTGGGCTGCCCTTCACTCCGAGCTCAATTGCGCAGGATGATTTGGGCGCGGCAGAGGTTGGTCCAGGATCCAGTTGCGGACAGTGACTGGTGGCAGGTCCATTGCTCTCAGGAAGCTGGGTACTTCATTGGGCCATCGCATGGAGCGCCATGTGTTATCCTTTTTGGCTTGGAGGCAAAATGTGAAACCTCATTTATAGGGTATGCGTTTCTCCTGTAGGATGCATGTTAGAGGCCGCAGTGCCCTCTGGGCATCCAGGGTAAGGGAGGACAGGTCCTGGTACAGTGACACCGAGGCGTCACGGAAAGTGACGCTCTGCTGGCGTGCCGCTCGCATGATGGCTTCTTTAAGCTGAAAAGAAAGTAGGCAACATATCACATCTCGAGGGAGGCCATCTCTTCTTGGTGGGCGCAGGGCCCTGTGGGCTCGTTCTTTGTGGAAGTCATCAGGGACCTCCTCGCCTAAGATGTGTGTGAAGAGCTGTGTAAGGGCTTCAAAGAGGTCTTCATTATCGGCTTTATCACTTTTGGTGAACATGTTGGCCGAGATGGCCGCAAGTTCTGTTGTTATCTGCAATAGGGCTGAATCCGCGTCGCTCTCCGCTCCTGGGGAGGCGGCCGCATTCTTGTCTGCAGGCTTCGTGGCGTGGAAGCTGTCTGGGGTGGAGAGAAAGTCGTCCATCGGACCAGAGTTTTTTCTCGATGGGCTGTTGCCCGAGGGTCCCAGGGTGCCCTGGCGTCTGGTTTTCCCCATTCTGGGGATATCGGCAGGCTCTTATTTGGGGCTTTGTGGGTCGAGGTTGCGGAGCTCCGGCCATGTGCGACTCACTCCATTCACCGACAAGCCACGCCCCTTTAAAGCAACTTTTATCCGTCCACATCTCAAGTAATTTCAGAATATAATTTATAACTAGGAAAGTCAGATGAGATAGACTATGCCTTACTTCTTCTAAAATGTGCTGGGAAAGGGACACTTGGTTAGTCCTAATGGTAGATGTATGTGTTGAAATTGTATCTGTGTTCATTCCTACAAATATATCTAATAACATGGACCTCTTACCATACAAATTTATATGTGGAGTCACAAGTAAAAAAAAATAAATGTATATATATATTTTCCTATCAATTAAAAATACTTCTGTTTTACATATATATATATGTTCTTTTTTCCCACTTTGATTAGTTAGGATGCAAGAGGAATGTTTCAGTAATACAAAAAATGCAATGAAATACGAAAGTCATTGCCATACTATATTCATTTTTACTTACCATTTATGCAATACCTCTGTTCTCAATCAATACCCCTGAGTATTCAACTCCTGCTTTGTAAATAGCCCCATGAAAATGAAAAAAACATCAACATATGTCATATACCTAAAAATAAAACTGCCTGACATATATTACACTGGCTTTTTGGTTGCGAATTCTGACACCAGTCACAGTTCCCCTCCTTTGGGATTACTGGCTTGATAGTCCAATGCCCAGAGGAAATTTCCAATGTTGCAGTAGCATATAAATATCCCTGTGTTTCAAACCTGGCTGAAAATTAATGGTCATTATGGCTACCTGGGATTACTCTCTTGTGTTCATTTTTATTTTGAAGTCCATTTCTTATTTTTTATGGTTTATTAATTTCTAACATGAAATTGGCAATCAACTTTCTAGTAGTTAAACCCTGTCTTACGGTCCACACAAATCCAATGCCATGAGCTCTATAATTTAAAGACATTCAACAATATAGTTTTTTACAGTATCTGCAAGTCGGCTTCATCTGAAGAAGTAAGAAAAAAACGTATCAGTGTAAATCCCTAAGCCCTGAAGCTAAAACCTGTGTTACTATAGTATTAGTTAAACGATGATGCTTTTAATAGTTGAAACATTCTCAAGGAATCTTTCCACATAGCAGATCTCATTTCTAACATCTAGAGACTTGAGCAGTTTCACAGTCTTTGATGATTTTGTTTCCTGCGACCCCAAATGCTACAGAGAAGATGACTAGTACTTAACGGCCCAACACCATGCAGAACGTTTGGCATTTGCCAGAGAACACCAAGATTGGCAAATTTGCCACTGGTGCCCTGTGCTCTTCACAGATGAAAGCAGGTTCACACTGAGCACATGTGACAGACGTGGCAGAGTCTGGAGACGTAGTGGAGAACGTTCTACTGCCTGCAACATCCTCCAGCATGACTGGTTTGGCAGCGGGTCAGTAATGGTGTGGGGTGACATTTCTTTGGGGGGCCGCACAGCCCTCCATGTGCTCGCCAGAGGTAGCCTGACTGCCATTAGGTACCGAGATGAGATCCTCAGACCCCTTGTGAGACCATATGCTGGTGCGGTTGGCCCTGGGTTCCTCCTAATGCAAAACTATGCTAGACCTCATGTGGCTGGCGTGTGTCAGCAGTTCTTGCAAGACGAAGGCATTGATGCTATGGACTGGCCTGCCCGTTCCACAAACCTGAATCCAATTGAGCAAATCTAGGACATCATGTCTCGCTCCATCCACCAACGTCACGTTGCACCGCAGACTGTCCAGGAGTTGGCAGATGCTTTAGTCCAGGTCTGGGAGGAGATCCCTCAGGAGACCATCCGCCACCTCATCAGGACAATGCACAGGCGTTGTAGGGAGGCCATACAGGCACGTGGAGGCCACACACACTACTGAGCCTCATTTTGACTTGTTTTAAAGACATTACATCAAGGTTGGATCAGCCTGACGTGTGTTTTTCCACTTTAATTTTGAGTGTGACTCCAAATCCAGACCTCCATAGGTTGAAAAATTTGATTTCCATTTTTTATTTTTTGTGTAATTTTGTTGTCAGCACATTCAACTATGTAAAGAACAAAGTATTTCACAAGAATATTTAATTAATTCAGATCTAGGATGTGTTATTTTTGTGTTCCCTTTATTTTTTTGAGCAGTGTGTGTGTATGTATGTATATATTTATATATATATGTATATATATATATATATATGTATGTATGTATGTATGTATATATATATATATGTATATACGTATATATATATACATATATATATATATATATATATATATATATATATATATATATATATATATATATATATACACACATATATATATATATATATATATATATATATATAACACACACACACACATACACACATAACAGGTAATAAATATAGTCAACCATAACAGGTGAATTCTGTATTGAGGTATGTTGCCATACCTTAAGCACACAGCTTCAGAAGCTTTTCTTACCCTTAAGGACACAATCCATTTTTGCATTTTTTGCTGTTTGTGTTCAAACGCAATTTGCATCTCTGTCATTTATTGCACCAACACATATTATATATAGTTACAGGTCACAAAATACAAGGACTAAATTACAGTTTCAATTTGCAACAATTTCAGAAGTTGGTATGTTTGTCTTTTAGTTTAGTAGCTATCACAGAAACAAAAAAAATGCCACACAAAAGTATATATTTATATAAAGTTGATATCACAGGCTATTTACCTAAGGTTAGTTTGGCACTTTTAGCCATTTCATCGCCAATCTCTGCTAAATATTGGAGTAAAATTTTTTTTTCTCTCTATTTTGGCATATACACATATAACAAGGTTTTTGTAATGTGTATTTCATAAAGCTGGTGTGTGCTATTCCTTATTGTGTTCTACTACATCTGCTGAGTATAACAATACCCCCATTGTATGCCTCTGGCACTATTTTGTAAAGCTACAATGCCATATAAGAGACAATGCTATTTCAGTTTCTAGTGTTAGAATTTTCGTAGATGGATTTGACAGACCTAAGTCTCATTTTAGGGTATTATAGCAGTGTGACTGTTCAAATAACGCCACAAAGGGCTTTCATTTGATAAAGCAGACACCCCAGGGTATCTTATATGGTGTATATTGTGCCTTAACGTGCCCCCTTTTTTTCACCAATTTATGTCAATGTTTGTGGTGAGGGGGAAGAAAATGGCATTTTTACATATATGTTGCATTTTTGCTCAGTATTTCTCACACTTGATATGTACCACTGTCATAAAAAAAACCAAATTATGCTAAGTTACATCTTCTGAGTAAAACAATATGCCCAATATATGACTTAGACACTATTTTGTGAAGTTACAGTGCTGTAAAACAGACATATCAAGTTCAAGCTTTTAAAGTGTGAATTTTCATGGAGGGTTTTGATGCGTTTGTGTCCCACTTTGGAGCACTTGAGCAGGCTACATATTCCAGCTACACAATAAAGGCATGCCATTTCTTAAAGAAGACATTCCAGGGTATTTCAAAAGGTATATTTTGAACCTAACCAAGTGTAGTGGTAATAAGCATTTTTACTGCCTTTTTGAGCCACAAAGTGAGTTTGCACAGTATATTTTGCAAACCTTATTCGTGATACGACTGTATAATACTTCATATGTTTCTCAGCTATGTTTTTCTGAGTACAACAATACCCCCCATATGTACCTTTGCCATGTATATGTGGACATTGAACGGGCACATTTGAGACAGTCATTCCAGCTTTTTTCAAACTTTGAATTTTTACGCTGTGTCCATGTTCCATTTTAGAGTATTTGAGCAGGCTATATAATCGAACTATCCCATAAAGGCATACCATTTCTTAAAGAAGACATCCCAGGGTATTTCAAAAGGCATATTTTGAACTTTGGCCTGGAATAATTTTTCCGCTAGCTTGTACCAAATGTAGTGGTAATAAGCATTTTTTTCTACCTTTTTGACACACAAAGTGAGTTTGCACAGTTTATTTTGCAAACCTTATGTGTGCTATCACTGTATAATACTACATATGTTGCTCAGCTATTTCGTCTGAGTACAAAAATAACCCCATATGTACCTTTGCCAGGTATATGTGGATGTTAAAAGGGCACATTTGAGACAGAGCCATTCAGTTTTTTTCTAACGTTGAAATTTTACTCTGTGTCCATGTTGCATTTTGGAGTAGTTTAGCTGGTTGGTTATTTAACCCCTTAAGGACCAAACTTCTGGAATAAAAGGGAATCATGACATGTCACACATGTCATGTGTCCTTAAGGGGTTAAACTCCCCACAAAAACTAATTAGTAAAGAATACACCCCGGGGTAATTCAAAAGGCATACTTTGTACCTTAGCATGGGATCATTTTTCCTCTAGTTTGTTCCAGGTGTAGTGGTAATGAGCATTTTTAAATGTATTTAACTTTTTTAAACTCTTTTTTTAACTTAACTTTCTTAAAACTTTTTTTACACATTTAACATTTTTATAAACTTTTTTTTTACTGTTAGTAATCAATTGGCAGAGAAGGGGTACATTTTTATTTCAAATGGATAAAGGGGGGTGGGATTTTAAACTAACTTTATTTATTTTTTTACACAGGGAGAAGCTCCGCAGTGATCCGTCTCCCTGCACTTCAAACAGTATGCGGAAGAGCAGGGAGGCGGATCAGAAGTCCCTGCAGCACATGTGCTGCAGGGACAGCGCGATCGGGTGCTCCCGGTCTGCCTCGAATACCAAGGCAGACCAGAGGAGCGTTAACCCTGCGATCACCGCATTCGCCGCTAATGCGGTGATCTGGGGTTAACTTTAGCGCATGATGGACCTGGTCCATCATCCGGCGTTAAGTGCTATCCTGGCATGATGGACCGGGTCCGTCATTCGTCATTATGGTGTTAAAAGATTTTAGACTG